AAATTTTCTAATATTCTCCGAACAGTCGGCAGACCGTTCCACCTTCATGTTTTTTTTTTCTTTTCTTAATGCAACATGTTTGGTTTATGTCGGCTGCCTATAATATGAGCTCTTCCCAGTTTTGAGTAAACTTCATAAGGTACATCAACATTATCCCTTTGCTATCGTCTTCTAGCCAGCGCACAGGAGGGAGCAATTTCCTCTGATGTCAGAACTTTCCTGGCCTCTTTCTCGCAGCACCTTTATACTCTGTCTTCTAAACTTCCACACGCTTGCAACGTTTCGTTCGCTTCCCCCGCAGAGAATGTCGTAAACGCGTCTCTCAAGCAACCCCGCCGTCCTTGTGCATTCCCTTCACTTGAACTTGACCGACCCTTAACCGAGAGGCAATCCTCCTTTAATGTACCTCAGACTCCTCTTCTCTATCAGCGCCCAATCCAGCTATTTATCTCTTAGTTGTTGTTTTCTGTTTTGTTGCTGTTGTGGTATGTCACCGTATGTGTGCTTCCTTTTTGGGTATTACTTGTTCTACTCAGCTAGAGTTAGTGAGAGAGTGAGTGAGAGAAGTGAGTGAGTTTTTCCACGTTGGTGTTGTCCCGTGTCATTCTCGCTACGTCGTTTTCGTTCCCTTGTAGCGCGCAAAACGTTAACGCTGCACAACCGACCGGCCCCTACCCTGGTTCTATCACTTGCGCATTCGAGAAATGTTGCGTCCTCTCCGCACGAGAGTGCACGATCACTATGGACGGGTGTCAACCCCGCGGCATCGGGTGCGGCGGCAGTGCGATGTATGCTTTAGCCACGAGGACACCGCAATGGACCGAGTTCAGTCACTCCATTCATATGGCGCGTGTTTCTTTCCCGTGAAATCAAGGGCTGACTTATCGCATCTCCCTTCGCGTCTCCGGGCAGAAAGCTGTCTGCTTCTTTAAATGAAATGCCGCATCCTGAGCTTAATCACACGCTCTTGCTTCGCCCTGTGAATCTGCGTATCTCATTCGTCTAGCCGCGAGTTTCTCGACACCGTGTTTTTACGATGATATTTCTTTTGTAATTCTCTTCCTTACAAGAACGAAAGAGTCGCACGCTCATAACAGCGCTCTTTTCAAGTTCGGAGCCGGAATTAAAAAAAAAAGTAAACCTCTTTTAATGTACCGTGAATGTTAACAAGAATGAATGTTAACAGAAAATCCGCAATGGTCATATCGCTTTCACAGCAGTTATAGTGAGAGGCGAATGTTTCGTGAATACTATACCGGGGCCCTTGATAGGTACGTTCTGCACATAGTACCAAATGATATTCTGCGTTCTGTTTAACGCACGTTTGTAATAGTTTGAACCAGTGTATTGTACAATAATCTGGAATAACGTCCTGAAACAAATAAATGGGAGGGAAGTATAGCGTTAACTTCGAACTTCCGAATAAAACCATGTAAACAAGCGGTCTCGGTCGCTGATAAGAACATCCCTTGTGAATCTACATTATTGTACGATTTGTGGTAATATGTTATTTTGAGCCACCGGCTCTTTAAACAGCCGCGCAGAATAAACCTGCGTTCACCTCTTTTGAGAGCTCCATCAAATTTCCGCTCGAGTACGCATAAGTTCGGATAAGCATTGATTATCCGCGCTTGGTTGCTAATGTGTTCGTTTGGGGAAGAGTGGGAGGAGAACGACAGGCATGCAGCGCCAGTTCGGAGGGACCAATGAATACCACCCTGCTTTGTAGAATCGGTATATAGAATGACAATGACTTAAAGCGCATGCCGTGAAACAGACACCACCAGCGGTGTTGTTCAAAAGGTACAGAGTGATATATATATATATATATATATATATATATATATATATATATATATATATATATATATATATATATATATATATATCAGCGCTCAGCCCGAGTAGGCGTATTGACTCCGAAACAATGCAACCATCGTCGACCAATGGACGTTTACGCCACAAACAACAGTTACTTTCTTCCCTAATGTCTCATGTTAGCGGCGTAATTGGTTTCAAGTTCATTGGGAAATAAATACTTGTGCTCATGGAAACTTCAATCAACGAAGTTGAATTCTTATAACTTCATAAGTGCCGAACGGTGAGCTGCTTTATGCTAGCCTATTGCCGGCTCTCTTGACGAGTGGTGCAGGTTGGCAGCACTAAATTATAAACCTCTGTTACTGATGAGTCAACTTAACTCGGCAAGCGCGAAAGTAAATGTTACCGATAAACGTTGCATCGGCCAAATACAAGGCACAGTAAACTAAATAGAAGTTTAAATAATTAAAATGTACCGGCGTCGTTCCGAGCATGTTTCCCAGCAAAAAGAATATGAACAGTGTCATTTCAACAGTGTAGATTGCATTGCTAATGTAACCCTGTCAACTGTTCCACGGCTCAGTGAGCTACAACGAATACATACGCGCAATGACACACATGCTCACACAGCTGCTAATGCCCGACGAAGTATATACTTTGTACTGGTGCATGTACTCACTGCATTCCAAGTTGGCCGCCACCATGCAAGGCCACTGAGTATCCAAAGTGACTTCCCGCAGCTCCTGGTCCGGGTAGCACCACAGGAAACTGAGTGTCCAGATTGAACGCGGACGTCCAGACCGTCCCGAGGAAAACCAGGAACAAGGGGAACAGAGCGGGTGGCGCCGAATATCCCGCCATGATCGGAGTCGCTCGTATCGTTGCCTCTGGTGGGCCCGAGGTTCCAGCTCCGGCTACGAGACCGCGGTTCTTCCGGACACGACGCTCTCAACGGCAGACCACCTCGGCGGCGTGCGGCCCCCCGCTGCTTCTACTCGGCTGCCGATGGCTCCGCGAATAAAAGAAACAAAGGGGGCGATAATAAAACGCGCTTCCTCGGGGCAAACATCCGTCGCCCGCCGGCATCCGGCGACGCAGTGGTGGCAGCAGCGGTGGTACGTCCCTCCTTCCCCTGTCGCGCACGTGCGCGCCACTCGGGGCGCCTCTGGAAACCGCAAAGCTCGTCGCGTCGTCGCTGAAGCCGGTGTGTGTGACAGCCGCAACACCACCGAGACGACGCCCCGCACTCGACTCTCTTCCTCCCTTCTAGTTTTTCACTGCGCGATCAGTGCAAATGAAAAGCGTCGTCGCACCGGCGCCTCTGGCAGCGATGATCAGGAGTCGCCCGTCGTCTCCGACGCGGCTCGCTGGACATTCTTCTTCGCGCCGCTCGCGTTTCAAGAGCGTCGCGCGTCTCAATTGTGCCTCCGCGTACCGAGGAATCGGGTAGCTTGAGTCAACTTCCCGGTGACGGCCACGCCGGCGTACCACTGGTGTCCTTGGGGGAGGGTTCCGAGGAGGCGAAAGCCGCCGCTGATTCAAACAGGTGCGAGCAAGCGCGAAAGCCGTCCCCGACTTGCCACGCGAGTCTGTGCTACTTACACCTGAGCGAGTAAGGAGCCGAGTGTTTACTCCGTACACCGTATGTCCCCCACCGATTTAGGACGGGCTTTCCCGGCGACCGGCTGTAAAGTGTGCCGCGAGACGGCTCATCGCTTATCCCGATGTGACGTCATCCAAAGCGCCCACACGACGGTGGTTACTCAGGGGGCCTATTGAGGAGGCAACGTGATCAGAAATGAGTCGCTCGCGACTCCGCCCGCAGGAGTGAATGAATTCGGCACCTCTCCGCCTTTTGCGCGCTTCTCGTCGTCTGCCGCGTTCGCATCTTATGCCAGTTTAATCGTGTTTTGTTTTTCTTGTAATGTGAGAGGCATTACACGGGAGCTGGTTTAACGAGTATGAGAAAGTGTCTGATTATCAAGGCGCGTGCTTCGGAAGGCAGTTGCATGTACGTTGCGCAAGCGAAACGAATCGATCACTTTCGCAATCTGTCTTAGTCACGCTGCTCGACGCACGTTTTCTGGATTTCGTGGTATAGACGTGACGCGCTTCAGCCGATGAGTAAACAAATGAAAAAAAAAAAGAATACCGGAGCTGGTTAACGGAGTGAACCTTACAAACGAAAGCGAATCGCAAAGCGATCAGATCGCTCTTCTTAGCCGGTATACGAGTGCGAAGTTGGTCGAACACGAGTACTGGGAATCTTCCCACTTCGCCGCATGCTTTGACGCCTGTACCTGATGAATCGTCTTGCTCATTGAATTACGCATTACGCTTTGTGTGCTCTAAGAGGGGTGGCGTGGAAGACTTCTTTATTTGCGTTTGTTACCTTGTAGAAGCGTACGGCAATTAGTGTGACCATTCAACGACGCAAGAATTTTTTTAATTCATATTAAAATCTTGCTGGCATAGCCCGGAACAGCGAAGTGTCTTCGGACAGATACCGCAAATAGCACCTGTCATTTGAGCATCTAAGGCTTACCCCCCTATAAATCCAACACTCAAAATCAGCGCCAAGAGCTCGGTTCCAAATATATTTCAAGTTTGGTCAGCGCCTTCATGTATAGTATACTCGAAGAATGTTCTCAAAAGAGACATACAAGCGAGAATAGATGGCCGTCCGTGGAATGCAAAACAATAGTCTCCCTGAGTTCTCGTTACTAAAGCCAAGCAGTTGAATGTCCGCTTGACTGCACATGTAACAATTCCCCTGACTGCTACTATACCTTTATGTGTTGATGGAAATAAATAAATAAATAAATAAAAAAGAAAGAAAGCAGCAGAACGTGACGGAATCCGAAGGACAGACCTGTGCTGGAGACGAAAATGAATGCCAACGCATCGCCCCCGGTCCTTCCTGCTCGAAGTGATACGGAAACAGCGAAACGCTGAAAAAACCTCAATCCAGTCTATTGTTGCAGTGACATGCGTGCACTTTTTTCGTCAAAGTTTTTCAGGCCACTGCGCACGGGAGTGGAACTGACTCAGAACCGCGCATCGATGCTTGACAATAGCTGCGTTCTCTGAGCAAAGGCATGCGGCGCAACGCATAGCGTATAAATACGAAAAGAACAATAGGCAAATGCTTTGAAATGCGGATTATATTCTATCGTACATGTCGCTGCTGCGTTAGAAGTGGTCCACGGAGAAACGAATGGGTGTACTTTAATGAAGCGTAAGTTATTTCGCCTACAAAGAGCCGGCATGCGCACACATCTGTGCTTGCATGTTCCGGAAGCATGAATCAGCAGCCATGGTAAAATAAATTATTAAAATGCACCAGGAATAAGAGAATGCGAGAAGTTGGTGAACGAAGGTTGAAGAATAGGTAACCAGGGATGTTATACGGTCATATCAGTTGCGCTTTTTTTTTTAACCGTATAACGCGATACAGATTTTCTTAATAAGTTGTCAGGAGCGTTAAATGCGAATAAATTTATTACAACTTGTAGAAAACAAATAAGATGCACCAAAAAGTTTAAAAAGTGCAGGTAATAAACGATAAAAATTTATTTAGAGAGTATTCAGAACGTGCTATGTTACGCCACCCGATTTCCTTCTTACATTAATGATAATTCATAATAGCAGATGACCGGACAATGACAGTAGGCCCATTTACGAACAAAATTTTATCTGCGTTTTTTTTTTATTTAAAAGTGCCTACCTGAAATCACATACACAGTCTATGAAGATTGGCTGATATTTGTTTTTAAGAATACATCAGGACCTGAGCGCATTCGCGCAACCCAGAGGGTGCATTCTGTGCAAGTCTGACACAATATCGTATATAGGCATGACCTTTGATGCACAATTAGCCTATGTTAAGAAGACGCAAAAGAAGTAGCGGTCATATATATTGCTATTGTACCGTCAATGCACATGCGCATAGAAGATATGGTCTCTCCGTTGCTTTGTCGCTCTAAATGCCGCTTTGCATTTTATCAACAGAATCTCTACACCGTATACGTTGGCCTCAAGTATAGCGGTTTGTATGCCACTCGCGGTAGTTTTGTCCCACTGCTCCCACTGTTCTTTTTTTTTCTTAGGCTTGGAAACAAATAATAAAACGCTTATAGCTCCGTTTATTGCGGGGGCCATAATTATGTAAACGGCAATAGCTATAGTATCCGGCTTGTAAAAGCTACATGTCCACGTCTGTGAGCGCATTCCATGAGAGAGGAATGAATAGTAAGGATATAAAAAAAAAAACTCACGGGAAGATGAGCATTGGCTATTTGTGCATATAATAAGCTCATTAGCAATCCTAATAGATCCAGAACGGCTCTGTTTGTATGGCCGTATGACGATTTCCGTACTGTGGAGCTCTGTTTTGTCATTACCTTATTTGTAAGTTGTTCGGCCCTATACAAGGCTATAGGTTCAGGATCGAGCCTAGGGGCTCTATGGAGATGCCGTTGTTTTTTAGTACGCTTGTGCTACTCTCAGTAAGTGTACGAGTCCTCTTGTGTTTTTTTTTCTTTATATTTCGTGACGTATGAAATGTGTTGCATTGGGTTTCGAAGCTAATGAGATTCTCTACAGGTACGGTCTTACTTACTGTAAGTATCCCACGCTATACCGAACGAGGCGTCACACGTCGGTATATATGGCGGAACCGGTGCACTCAATGAAGTCAAAACGTGGTAATTTTTTTAATGCATGCATGAATTTTATATACAAGATAGTCTCAATTCCAAATTGCTATGTCTTTGTACCAGCATCTATACAGTGCACAACTCTGGGGCCACAAGGAAACCTCAGTTTTATATAGCAAAGTATTAGCGCCAACATACGCACTCCGGGCTTTCTTACGTCATGTTGAATTGCCAATGAACACGCGCTCTGTCTGCAGCGTGCGGTGCTCTAACGGTGAATCGCTCTGGACGATGGTATAGTTTCAAGTGCCAGTTTCACCACTGACCAAATTTCATTTATGGCCACGAGTGATACATGCGACGAGGCGATGTCGTAGCGCCTCTAAAGCTGACCGATGACGTTTCGCCAAGGTGGCATGATCAGGTGACGCTCCTTCCCGGGTGAGTTCGGTCAGAGGTGTCGTTGACGGGAGCACGCGGGAGCAGGGTGGAATCTTCCTCTCGCTCTCTCTCTCTGACCCTGGGGAAGTTGCCTAAGATTTATTACGTAGTAGCAGTTTAAGTATAGTAGTATACATACCAGTAATACTAACAATTATTTACTGTTACTACTACCAATATAATAATAATAATAATAATAATAATAATAATAATAATAATAATAATAATAATAATAATAATAATAATAATAGGAAGAAGAAGAACTATGACGTTGACGACAATATCAATGTTATCACTTGGCGGCACTTCATTTGGTCACTGCCTCAGGGATATATGCTCCACCGTGTTTGACTACATCAATGCAACTAAGAGATTACCGTGCTAGTGAACCCTAACATTTTCATATCTTTAGTTTATAATTCGTAGCTATGTCTGTCAGGAACAAGAGATGGCTTGACCGCTTGCTCAGCAACGATTTTTGTTTATTGGCAGTTTTATATCTAAACAAATTTTTCAGATTGGCTTTAATTTCATTTTAGTTTCATTTAAGTATCCTGCCGCTCGGTTCTTGGCCGATCCCCCTCTGTGGGTGAGCGCCATCCACCTGAGGTCATCAGCATCAGCATCAGCCTGGAGGAGGAGGAATTAACTTTATTATAAGAAACCAGCAGGTTAAGGTTGCCGGGCCTATAGGCCTCCCATGAGGGGCAGTCAAGCAATTTAATTTATTATCTACTACTAATAAAAATGCATCAATTTTTGTATAGCTCACAGCACCAAAATTTTGCAGAACATTTATGTTTTTTTATTCTATGAACTCCATTATTCTAAAGTTACATAACATTTTTTAAGACATCCCTCAATTGTCGGCCAAATCCCTACAGTAGAAGGCAAACAACAAGCGCAGGCAATGAAGAAGGAAAAGGATGTGGGGCTCGTGCCCTTTCGCAGCCACGAGCCGCTTCGGCAGTTCTCGAAGACTACGTGCAGAATGAACGAGCAAAGCAAGGTCGCCAGGTCGTCGCCTTGTCTCACGGACAGGTCTCGCACTCCGAAATCCAAGGGTGCTTCGGTGATCCCGAGCGATGACAGCAGTGCGGGAACCGAGTCCAAAAAGCCCCGCAGCTCCCGCAAGAAGGCGTCGCAGCAGAGGCTGGCCAAAAAAAGCCTAGCCGAAGACTCTGGTTCAGGTATGAGACCCATCATGCGGCTTGGGGGTTTGTGTGAACGAAAGAACTCCCTGCGTTGCGAATGAATTTGCACTCAGGAGAAATCCACCCTTTTCTTCTTCTCGGGACAATGCACTCAACCTTCCCTCCAAAACATTTCCGCAACAAACAGCGCTTTTGCCCTGCCCCCATGCCCGGCCCACCTTCGACGATGCGACGACGTCATAATATAACGCCACGTTGTCTGACGCCATGGTGACGTCACAAATTTTACCAACATGAGACGTTATCGCGGTTTTTTTTTTCTTTACGTAGCTCAGACGCGGACGCCGTGACACGGCGGTCTATACGCCAACGGCCAATTTTCATATTTTACAAGACATCTGAGGCTTCAACCTTACAAAAAATTAATGGGTCACGCACAATGCTTGGGAAATGTCAGGATCGATGTGTCAGGATCGATGTGTCAGGAGCGATGATGTAATTCTCTCGCTTTTGTGTTACACTTGCAGGAGCAAATATGGCAGCCGACAACCTCGGGTATGGCCGGATCCACCCACGCCCTTTGGGTATCAAAGTGACCGCCCAAGGCAGTGCGTTAACAGACCACAGTGAAACCGGCGTTCCCATTAGACCAGTCAAAACTGCCCAGTCGATGACCAAGCCGCACTCGCAGACCTCTCGTGAAACCAGTGGACGAGCTCCGCTCGGAAGGAGGAGCCTGACCTGGACGAATACGAGTGCCATGCAGCGAAGTGGTTTCGCAACTAGGACATCCGGCGAATTCTCCTCGCAACTGTCTCAACCACAAGCTGCCGGGACCCCGATGAAGGTTTGCAAGTTCAATATTTATTATTTTAAAGCATTTATTAAGCAGCTGTCGATGTAGCAAAAATCGCGCGGTTATCCATGCATTTGCCTAAATAGACTCGGATGGCGAAACCAATCATATGGATTGTATCGGTCTTTGTGTAATTTCTTTTGTGTCTGTGATATGGGCTCCAATTTTCGCATTAAGTCCTACAACACTGCTATCCTCATGTGTTAAAATGTACGACATATTGTTCAAGAAAAAGTACACAAAAGTAATATAATGTCGAGACATACCATTCGATGCTTGCTTAAAATAAAATATGTCATCACTGCCAAATTTCTACCAGTGTTGTAAATTTTTTTCAGATGGAGGAGACTGGCTACGCTAGTGATTCCTGTTTATATTGCTTCTGTATTTTTTCCTAACAAGGACCTCAAGTCGAGTATGCCTTTTATTAAAGTTAACCTACGTAACGCTGTGTGCAGCGTGAAATAGGAGCATTTTATTTCTCCTTGGCAAAGAATGGTCGAACTAAAGAATCGCCAAAAATACAAAGCGCCTGATTAACACAAACAAATGGGGCGAGAACAAGAATGGACGTGGATGCACATTAAACCTTTTTCAAGCTAAGCTTGCTCGGGAAGTATGCAAGCCTAGAAAAAGTATGCTAACGCCTATATATTGTAGCAAACTGCAACGAAAGCTTTAGAATCATATCATGGAGGGAGGGCAACATAAGTCACTTCCACCCCAATGCAAGATGTTTTTGCAGTGAAGCATACCAAAAAATAGGAAAGGGACATTGTTACGGGACGTAGTGTGCCTGAAAAAAAGGAGCGGGGGGAATGAAAAGTCATGTTATTTTATTTTGATAGGGATGAATTTCGCGGGACAAGGGACACTGTTACGGGACGTAGTGTGCTTGAAAAAAAGGGGCGGGGGGAATGAAAAGTCATGTTATTTTATTTTGATAGGGATGAATTTCGTGGGACAAGGGACACTGTTACGGGACGTAGTGTGCCTGAAAAAAAGGGGCGGGGGAACGAAAAGTCATGTTATTTTATTTTAATAGGGATGAATTTCGTGGGCCCACATTTCAGAACCGCTGCTTTATGGTTCGACCATACTATAAGAACTAGCAGTAACCCTGATGGCACCACCCCACCAGTACTGATAGAAGATATCAGAAAAGCCTTGGAGAGCATGCAAAGAGGCAACGCTACTGCTGAGGATCAGCTAGCATCAGATCTGCTGAGAGATGGAGGACAGAGTGTGTTAGAAAAACTAGCGACCCTGTTTACGAGGTGTCTCCTGACAGCAAGAGTACCAGAATCTTGGAAGAATGCTAACATCATCCTAATACATAAGTAAGGGGATGACAAAGACTTGAAGAAATACAGGCCGATCAGCTTGATCTCCGTAGTATACAAGCTATTTGCAAAGGTAATTGCTAACAGAATTAAGACATTAAAATTCAATCAACCAAAGGAACAAGCAGGATTTCGAACACGCTACTCGACAATCGACCACATTCATATTATCAACAAGGTAATAGAGAAATGCTCAGAATACAGCCAACCACTATACATAGCCTTCATTGATTACGAGAAGGCGTTTGATTCAGTAGAAATATCAACAGTCATGCAAACAGTGCGGAATCAGGGCGTCGATGAAACATATATAAACATCCTGGGAGAAATCTACAGGGGATCAACTGCTACCATAGTGCTTCATAAAGAAAGCAACAGGATACCAATCAAGAAGTGTGTAAGGCAGCGGGATACAGTCTCCTCAATGTTATTTACCGCGTGCTTACAGGAGGTTTTCAGAGGCATAAAATGGGAAGAGTTAGGGATAAAATTTCATGAAGAGTACCTTAATATTCTGCGCTTCGCCGATGACATTGAATTTTTGAATAGCTCAAATGACGAATCGCAACTCATGATTACAGAGTTAGACAAGGAGAGCAGAAAGGTAGGTCTTAAAATTAATCTGCAGAAAACTAAAGTAATGTACAACAACCCTGGAAGAGAACAGCACTTCTAGATAAGTAATAGTCTACTAGAAGCTGTAAAAGACTATGTCTACGTAGGACAGGTAACCACCGAGCCGAACCACGAGATTGAAGAAACTAGAAGAATAAGAATGAGGTGGAGCACATTTGGCAAGTACTCTCCAATTATGGCAGGTGGATTGCTACTATCCCTCAAGAGGAAGGTATATAACAGCTGCATCTTGTCGGCGCTTAGCTACGGAGCAGAGATTTGGAGACTTACAAAGAGGGTTCAGCTTAAATTGAGGACGACGCAGCGAGCAATGGAAAGGAAACTGGTAGGTGTAACCTTAAGAGGCAAGAAGAGAGCAGAGTGGATTAGGGAGCAAACCGGGTTTAAGGATATCATAATTAAAATCAAGAAGAGGAAATGGACATGGGCCGGGCATGTACCAGTGGTCATTAAGGGTAACAAACTGGATGTCTAGAGAAGGCAAGCGGGTTAGGGGGAGACAGAAAATTAGGTGCGCGGATGAGATTAAGAAGTTTGTGGGTATAAAGTGGCACCAGCAAGCACAGGACCGAGTTGACTGGCGGAGCATGTGATGATGCTGATGATGATGACCTTTATGGTGGTGATAGTAATAATCGCGTAGTGGTCACCATGGTAGACCGTGATTGTTTCGGCGAAGACCTATGTCTTCCTTTGGTCGACCATTACATGCACGCCGTTTTTCCGGTGTCCTTAACTTTTTGCGATCTATCGACAATCGTCTTAGAATGAACTGATTGAGTCTCTAGACTCTCGACATGTGTGCCTTTCATATATAAAAGCGGGAAACACGGGGGTGGGGAGGAAGGGTCGTTCGACGTTATTCGAAGCCCCCCGTGTGCAGTGCAAAGCAGGTACATTCTAATATTTAACGAGAACGCGTGGAATGGTGTTCACATTGTTAATAGGCACCCTATTATATAACATAAGGTTTTGATGCTTGTTTTATCGTTGTCTAAGCTCTGTGTTGTAGTATGCCTGATTGCAAATAAATGTATGTCGTTTGCCTTTAATTGTTAAAAGACCCAAGGACAGCCAAAAACTCGAAATTCAGTTGTGGCGTTGCAGTCGCGTACGAGAGCCTTCATGTGCGTGCCGCCTCCGTTTTCGGTGCGCATAGGAAGGCTCCTTAGTACGAGTCTACAGCGAATGCGTTCGTCGGCTCATCTGTCCGCCTCTACCGGAATGCCCTTCCCCAGCGTTCGAGGTCAAAATGCTTGAAACACGCGCATCTGCTAGCAGAGCAGCACACAAGCGGGAGCGTCTGGTTGTGGTTTCGTAGCCTGGTGTTTTGTTTTATTCCATCTCAGACGAAAGCGTTCCGGGGTAGAGGTATACAAACATAACGCATATGATGTAGCACCAATGCGGCGTCGCCGACATTCGACAGACCCTGGGAGTACCTGGGACCGAGCCGCGAAATCATTCCTACGGGGCCTCCAGCGGGAGACGATTATTGGCGGCAGCGCCAAATTGGCCAAACACGAAAAAGAGATTCGCTGCCGTTCTCTGTGCGCCCGACTCACCACAGAACGCCTACCTCGCTCCCGCCAAGCAGCGCTGCTGGCGCCACCACGCCAGACCCGAAGAGGGTATTCACCTTTTCATAAACGCCTCTTTGGGCGCCGCCATAGCCCTCCTTAGGCTGCGCCGGCGCGTCCCCTCGAAAATGCACTGACAACGCTGCGCCCTTAGCCTTTGTACTCCCGCGCAAAGCCCATCACGGCGGTGTTTTTTTCCTTCCTGTGAAAAGGTGTATATATGGCCACGGCTGCTGAATAAAAAACGGTTTTTTTTAATCCAGCAGTTGTGATATGGCTTTGCACCACGCTAAAGCCTCGTGTACCCTGAACTCTGTGTACTTACACCGCGCTTCGCGCGAGCACAGCGCCACGTCCCACTGGACGTGCGCGCGCCATGAAGCGAAAACGACTTTAGCGGGGGTGGTAGCAACCCCCCAGTAGTTAATGGAGCGTCAGCATATTTTTGAAAACACGACATTCCTCGAAGCTGCCTTCGAAGTTCCAAGTACCGAAGCCGCATAGCCTGTCATTCTGTGCCATTCGTTTGTCGCCATCGCAAGCAGCAATGGCGACAAACCAACGGCGACAGCGCGAGGGCCGGCCTTTCAGCTACAAGTCATTCCAGCTTGAAAGCTTTTCCCGTGAATTTGATATGGCCATTGCCAGTGGCACACATCCTCTTACATGAGCATACTGTACGTCAGCGGTTGGCACTGTTCGCTAATAAAATAGACTTTGGTGACGTTAAGGATTACGGAAACATCTACGGTAAGACCTTTTCCTGTGTCCGCAATTGGAGCTTTTTCTTGCTTTACCTAAAGGGCTGTCTTGTGTCGATTGTGTCTTCTGTTGCCCTTGTCCTTACAAGTGACATACCTATATCAGCCAGTGCTTGGCGTTTCAGGATTCATCGCTGCTGCGGAGCCGACGCGGCGCTCGGTGCCGGAGCAAAGCCACGTGCAAGTGGGTCGCAGCCGAAGCTGCGGCCATCATGACCATCACGTGCGCACTTCTCCTGTACCTACTGCCGCTCTCTGCGGTCACCGGGGCGCTGAGAGACAGCTGGCCATGCAACACGCAGAGTTGCCGCGACCAAGCCGAAGCCATCCCTGCCTGGGTGAACGATAGCATCGCTCCGTGCGACGACTTCGAGGCGTATGCCTGCTCGCGTTGGACGCCAAGCATTGATCATGCGCGGGGTGGCACGGCCATGATGGGCCATGCTGGTTACAGCTGGATTCAGGAGTTTAGACGCCGGCTCGATGAAGGCGCGAACAGCTTGCCCATCGCGAAACGATTGGCGATACTCTTCGACTCTTGCCTGAGGGGCAGGACCTCAGAGGAGGATAGCAGAGAAGTATATGAAATTCGAGAATTTATGCGGGGCCTCAAGATTCCCTGGCCCGAGCCGCCTCTGCCAGGAGTCGACCCGTTGGGCGTCATGCTCGATCTGGTGTTCAACTGGGACATCAATATCTGGTTCCGAGTCGATTTGTCGCGACACACCACCGACTCTATCGACAGAAGAAACCTGCTCCTGCAGCCGGCAATGGTCCTCAGCTCGCGATGGCTTAACGTGGCAGGCATCTTACACACGGACAAGTTCGTAGACTATTGGTCGGGTTTTCATCGAGAATTTGCGCCCAATGAAACTATGCGACCCCTCGGTGCAATTTTGAACATCCGCAGGATGCAGAAAACGATATACTTGGACTTCGTACACGTTGAAAACAGCGAGTTAAAGCATCCTACGAACACTTTACTTAAAGATATTGACAGTTACACGCCCCACATTTCTACGCGTCGATGGACCGACGTCTTGAACGAAAACTTAGTCGGCCACGGAAAGTTCGTGTCATCGGACGGCGTGACGACCATGGACGCAGAACTGCTCGCTGTCGTCGACAGGATGTTTGCTAACTTCAGCCACGAGCAGCTCCTCGACCACGTCTCGTGGGAGCTCCTACAGATAATAGCTCCGCTTGCCGGCACCGAATTGCGTGTGGCCAAGTACGGAAGTGCGAGACAGGCTGAGATCATGGGTAACAACTACTGCTCCACCCAAATCGAGAGAGCGTACCGCTGGCTCGTCACGGCGGTAGCGCTGCTCCCGTGGTTCGATGCCACGGCAAGGGCATTTCTTCACGGACAGCTGGTGAACATCACTGAAGCGGCCATATCCAAGGTGAACGGCATCCCGTGGGCCGACAGCGAATCGGTGAAAATGGTTGCCAGCAAGCTGAGGAATCAGCGAACCCTCATTTGGCCGCCATACGAGCCTCTGGACGAAAAGGTTCTCTGCGAAGCTTTCGACTCCTGGTTCTACGAGAACGCGACGTTCGCGCAACACTGGATTCGATCGGTCACGAGGTGGCACCACATGCGCACGAGTCCCAGCTACAAGCGCAGCGACGACTCGCCACGCTCGTACGCCTTCCCGCACTTCGAGTACGACCCGTTGTCGAACGTGGTTCGGGTGGCGGCGTCGGCACTCTTCCCCCCTTGGTACCAGGCTGCGGGCAGCAGAGCCGCTCTGTACGGCGCCATCGGCTTCACGTTCGCGCGAGAAATAATCAAGGCTCTCGACGTGCCAGCGTTCGACCGCCACGGTAGGTACCTCCACACGTGGCCTACGGAAATTTGGAGGGAAGCCTCGGCGAAGAAGACGTCGTGTCTGCGTCCCGAATTCGACTCGGTCTTCCCCGAGATTCCTGCTCTGGAAGTTGCGCACGCGGCTTTCCTGGCGTCGTCCAGCGACGACGCGGCGATTTCCAGGCAATGGAGCGCCGAACGAGTGTTCTTCGTCACGGCCTGCTTCGCGATGTGCAACCTGCCCAAGACGTTGGGACGATTTCGCGCGGACTGCAACAAGGCGTTCAGGAACTTCGCTCCTTTCGCGGCGGCTTTCAAGTGTCCGCTCAATTCGAGGATGAACCCTGAAAAGAAATGCTCCTACTTCGACTAATGCACTGCGTATTACAGGCAAACGCACGATTTTCAGCGATATATTTGTATATAATGCTATACGGTCATCCATGGACATGTTTCGCTTTTAAGGTAGGATTTTTTATGAAGGTGTTTTGGTACATAGCTGATTCAGACTTTCAGTAAATGGATTTAGATGCGATTTTTTTCTGTTCTGATAATTTTTTCACGCTAATTCTTTTATGAAGGTCTAGAGAGATTACTGTTTCAGTAAATGGTTTGGGTATGAGATTTTTTTTCCTATTGCGATCTATCTATTATTTTCGCTCATACATGCTGCAGTAAATGGTAAATCTATGTAATTAGCCAACACTCCCCGACAAAACATGTCAACGCTTCTCCAATTTTTCTACTTTAAAGTGAAGACCACCTCGAAAATTATGCTAAATTCATTTATATTATTTATAGACTACACGCGAGTTCACGTCGAATAATATTAGTCCTATATTAGGTCAATCCGCTTGAGCGAGTTCGAGACTCAGAACAGTTTGTGTACGACGTACAGTCACCTCTCAAAAAATCACTTCCACCTCCTCCTGAAGCAGATGAGGCTGCGTGCATTAAAAGATGAAGGAAGCCAATCTCCACATGACGATGATGATAATAATATGCCAGTCATGGGCGTCGGCAGTGTTTTGTTTCGGGAAAAGAGGGTGGGGGAGGGGACACTTGTTGCATCACGGCACAAGGGTAGCACTGGTGTGGAAGAAGCGGAGGTGGGTGGGTGGGTAAACAAGTGTTATTTGCACTTTCCTGCGGACGTGCGCCATTCTATCGAATATTTCAGCTAAGATTATGGACTGGTACGTGTTTATGACGTTCAGTTCTGTAAATGTTGTATGTAGCTTGGCACACAACTTTCAAAAGTTTGGAGGGGGAGAGGTGGACATCCCCGATAGAACAGTGCATGTCACGTTACTAGTGCTTGATTATGCTGTGTCACTTTCCGAAATGGGAAAATAAAAAAAAAAGCAAAGTCAAGAACAAAGTTTTTTTTTCCCAATGCAATCTAACGCAAAAAAATGTACAGTATGCTTGCTGAATAATAATATCACAGGTGGTAGTAATAGGGCGTGAAAAAAATTCTAAATAATGGCTAAAATGCATCTTTTCGGAGAGTGGATCGATGAGCTTACAAACAGCCAGTTACACACATTGTCTTGTTCTGTCTACTCATCTGGACTAAATGACCATCATAAGCAACACATTGCGACTTCACATAGACTGAAGATTTTTCGTACAAGAACTAGAGGGATGCATAGGAAAATCGAAGCATGTTGAAGATGTGATAAAATGAAATGCAGTCAGTGGATGCATTGCAACGATGTCTAGCCCCAGTAGTCATGATGTTATTGGCCGATGTTCACCGGCAGTCAAGGCGTTCAGCTATAAAGGGAACCATGCCCTATAGGAGTTCATGTGCAAACATTGACGGTACTGCCATGGCACAGTGCACAAAATGTTTGTATAAATTGTCTGTAGCACTGTTGTGCATTAGCTATAAGGGTAGGTGCTAAATTAGCAAGCTTTACACAACTCAAAAGTTCGAACTCTTCCTGAAATGAAGAATGAAGCCTCTCCTCATAACTACAGTAGTCATTGATCCTTGTGCATCACGTAGGACATAGAAATTCATGACACAGGAGAGTTGAAAGCAAGAATAGGTATGCACTGGAGCTTCATTGGTGTCACCATGACATCACCAGCAATTGTTCCGCTGATATTCACCGAACATAGCTGCACAGAAAAAGTTTGAATCACGAAATTGAAGTGAATGCAGCGTTCCTACTCTGGTCGCACGAGTGCAGATGCAAGTCCAGTCGTGGAAACTGAAGCTCCAACTCTAGCCTCTTCGCAGCAGACAGCAGGTCCCTTTCTGCAAATCTGGGCGCAATGAGCTGCAGGCTCAAAGGGAGACCATTGCGCGAGAGTCGACACGGCAGGCTGACCGCAGGAAGCCCAGCCATATTGACCGGTTGGGTGCAAAAGTCTTCAACGGACACTCGCTCCCTGTTATCCTTAAGCGCCCAGTCCGAAAACTTGGGCGCTTCGGTGAGGGTTACCGGCGTTAAGATCAGCTGCACACCCGATTCAAACACCCTCCTAAAGTCCTCGCATATCAAGCGACGCACTTGAAGAGCCTTCATAAAGTACTTGTCATAGTTCTTACGCAGCAGGAAAAAGTTTCCAGCCAATATTCGACCTCGCACGACTTCGTTAAACCCTTCGTGCCTCGAGGATGCGTACAGGGCTTCCGTCGAAGAGTCGTCGTCAGCGCGGTGCCCGTACTCGAGACCGTCGTAGCGAGCGAAGTTCGACGCCACCTCGCAACAGTTGAGTACCGAATAGCACTCCGTTGAATACTGCGAATGAGGTAACGACACCGAGGATACTATGGCGCCCAGCGAGTCTAACTTATCGGCCACGTACCGCCAAACGTCAACTACTTCAGGCGCCATACCCGGACAGTGGTACTCCCTTGGAATGCCAACACGAATGCCGGCGAGCGACGGCTCCTCTTCCAACTCCAGATTCTGCGCGTGCTCGGGAAGAGGCACACTCGTGGAGTCGTTTTCGTCGACACCAGCCGTAGCGTTGAACAACAGAACGACATCGTGCACCGTTTTCGCCAATATGCCGGGAACGTCCATAGAGTTTGTTAGCGGGATAAGTCCATGTCGAGAAAGTGCTCCGTACGTGGGTTTCAGGCCGACGACGCCGCACCGCGACGCCGGGTTTCGCGTCGAACCACCCGTATCGGAGCCCAAAGCACCGAAAGCACAACCCGTCGCTACCGAGACGGCACTGCCACCGGAACTTCCACCGGCAATATGCCAGTCATCCGTCGCGTCCTTACCCAGATACTTCCACGGATTTCTGGACGGTCCAAAAGTCGAATCGGTGGCCCCCGAGCCCATTCCGAACTCGTCCATGTTCGTCTTGCCAAGGATGACCGCGCCTTGTTTTCGAAGCCTCTCGACGACAGTCGCTGTGTAAGGCGGGTGAAAATCGGCAAGCATTCGCGATCCACACGTTGTTCTTACACCAGACATGCAAAAGTTATCTTTCACAGCAATCGGAACGCCATCCAAGGGCCCCAACGGTGCATTTTTGGCCAAACGTTCGTGGCTTTCCCTCGCTTGCTCTTGTGCCTGCTCTGACAACACCGTTACAAACGCGTTTAGACAGCTGGTTTCCTTGATATCTTTCAAACAGGCCAAACATACTTCCAAAGGAGAATACTTTTTGCTCTTAAAATGAGCCGCAAGCTCTCTTATGGTTAGTGAAAGCATTTTAAACTCACGAATAACGAGTGAAAGTCGGCAACGCTAGATCCTGCCATGTGCAGCTGAAAATGGCAACGCTCGCGCCCTCTATGCCCTTTCAAAGAAAGCGTCGACGCGAAACCGAAACCGAGGCAGGACAAGTTTCGGTTTCATTTTCAGTTTTTTTCAATTATATTGGTGCTTATGTGTTAAGAAGCCTAGAATACGTTGATCACCATAAAGTTTGTCCATAACCAATGCTGATAAACATGACCACATTTTCCAAGTGATGCCTTGGTTGCAGAGATTCCTTTGGTAAGTGGTCGTTGGAACATTTTATACGAACTTGAATGGACGTGAGCAAGGCGAAATGGAGGAGTTGTCTCGCGAATGTGAATAGCTGTCTCTCGAGTTCTTGAAGCCACAAAACACTTGTTTAACATATTGAAAAAAATGCTGTCGATCTGTCGTCTCGGTTCCCGTAAGCGAGTGATCACACTCAATACACATGGCGCGGATTATACGATGTCTATTTTTACGAAGAGTCTGTTTGGCCAAACATAGCCAGTCGCATTGTTTGGCCAAATAAACATTTCAGTAAATACCGCAGCACACGGGAGCATAATGAACGGTGCACCCGGCAGTCGACCTCAGAGGCTGTGGAAGCCCACGTGTTTCTTCGCGCCGGCGACGTGCAAGCCGGCAAACAAAACACGGAACTTGTAACGAAGCCACAGCTGGCTGCCTGATACGTGTAAATATGACCGAAGCCAGCGAATTCAGAAGCCTTTTGAGTCTCCATATCCATTTATTATAAAGAGAAACCTGAAAAGACTATTGCAGTTCTTATTCTGTCATCGTCACATTACAACTGCTCCACGTATTCGCCAAACGGGATACCCGCTAACACTGCTTGTTCCCTGACCCATTCTACCATATTACGATTTGCTAATGTTGTTCATATCATTTTTCGTCAATTAATCACTGATTAATTCATTACCAACCATAAATTGTACTTTAAGTACACCAATCACAAAATTGTTGTCACCCCTCTCAGTTAGCACGAAGCAAAGCTATACATTCGTGCCCAATCATACTTCTAACTTTATTTTCCTGTCTATATAAACAGGCATGCCCCTTCCTTATCGAGTCACCACTGTCACCGACTGTAAGATGCAGGAACTACTCCTGTAATTCGAAACATGGTAATAACACTATCCTCTTCTGGCGCGAATTATAATGCACTGTCTACAAATCTGTCAAATGCACATAGCAGAACTCCAAGGCACTTCGTATTACACTCCAAGAAAAAAAAATAAGGCAATGAGTTGTTTTCTGTGAGTTTCGGACAATAATTGCCATTAGTATATACTTAACTACTTCATTTTTCTGCACTCAGTCACGCTCTATTTTCACATGACAAGAATGAAATCAGGCTCCAAATGTGTGCGCAAGTAGTTTTTGGTTGTATTCACACCGGGAAAAAGAAAAGTATTACTTTTGACTGATTCTAATGCGCTGCACGTCAAATGACCCACCAATCCTAGCAGTACCTACACCAAAGTGCTCGATTACATATGCAGCTATAGCTCACTCAAATTATGTCAAGACATACCAACTATAAAGAAGGTTTACTTCACCCAATGACGTCGCTTTTTGCCCCAAGTTGAAGGGGATATAGATGTGCCATGCTTTTTTTGGTACATCAAACTTCCAATCAGAAATTGAGGTTGGATCTCATGCCAACATCTCTTTGTGATGCAGTAAAATTGTGTTTGATGGAAATACCAGCATCAGGCAATTCCTCATGAACTTCCGGATTATCTTTAACAGAAGAAAAGATAAATTAATAATAGGCAGCGTGCAATCGATACTTCTTTCTGCCAAAGCATTACGTAGAAGGGCAAGCTGCTTAAGAAAGCAAATGAGAAAGATTCATGCCTTACTGAGGCAATACTTTTTCTTGAGCAACCTGAGAGTGGCAAAAGAACTTCTCAGGTTCAAGTACAGAACTGAGACCAAGATTATAGGGCAAAGGTATGCAGTAGTTTCAAACCAGAATTTGAAAGCCCAGTTTTTGACCAAACTGAAACTTTTGAAGTAGTGAGCTTTAAAATGGAGATTGTTGTTAATAAAGAACAGTGAAATAGGCCGCCCCCTTTCAATCAGTGCAAACTTTCCAAGACATCTCAGGTAAGGGTGTTATATACCCAAGTTCAGCGTACAAGCATGCCACAAGAAAGTGACAAGACACTGGCACACAAAGGACCAGACAATAAACTGGTTTGTGTGTGTCCAAACCTTGATAACATCTTGAAAAACATCACTTTAACATGAGGAATGCTGTCACTTCTGTGCACAGTTGGACATCAATCATTGCTCGAACAGGAGTAAAAGAGTTTCAAATGCAGATTTAGAAAAGATGCTCTCTACCAAAGGACAGCACTCTATGGAAGAGCTTGTGAGCTTCTCTGGATCTTCAACTTGAATTCAGTATTAGTTAAGTTTAATTTTGTGTTAGTACATTACTTAAAACAAACACCTTTTAGATAAGAGTGGTATAGTAAAATGTGCTTTCACTGTATCTTGGGTCTTAAAATGTATGGCGATTTATCATACTTATATGTACTGCCAAGACAAAAATACACAAATGAATGGAGGCCGAACGTTTCAGACTAGCACAAGCACATCAAGTAGAAGTAATATAAAGATGAATTGAGACCAAACGTTTCAGATTAGTACAAGCACTACATTACAAGGACACTAAAGTCAAATAACAATTTACATTATAGAGAAAGCTCAATGTATGACTACGTCTGGAACGACAATATTATGAACAGCAGTGCCCTACTTACCGAGAAATTAAGGTAATTGCACGAGAACATATGCACAACTAACAAATTTGCAAAATGATCCCGATGATGCCAGACATACTGCCTGCAATTAATTACCGATTGTTTGATATGTGGGTTTTAACGTCCCAAGACTACCATACGATTATGAAAGACGCCGTAGTGGAGGGCTCCAGAAATTTCGACCACCTGTGGTTTTCTAACATGCACCCAAATCTGAGCACACAAGCCTACAGCATTTTTACCTCCATCGAAAATGCAGCCCCCGCTGCCGGGATTCGATCCCGCGACTTACGGGTCAGCAGCTGAGTACCTTAGCCCCTAGACCACCACTGCGGGGCTGCGTTCACTAATAATCGAGCTAGCTGCACTAAATAAAGAACTTTCCGTGCATCAAGAGATGTAATAAAATGCTCATTGTTCATTTCTGTTTGATTCATGGAAAGGAGAACCGCCTGACGTTACTCTGGAGAATGGCATGATTGGTTCAAAAGTTCAACCTCTGCCTGGTTGAACTGGACAAGTCCTGCCATCTAGCAGGCCCAGTTGAACTAAATACGTCTGCCATCGTGGAGGCCATGGCAGGAAATCATTAAATGGCTATTGTTGCTGCTGTCGCTCCAATTACTTTTGTTTTGCTGCTACTGGCATTGACGGCCGTGCAGTGAATCCAGGCAACGTTGTGCACGGAAACAGTGACTTGAGACGTTCTTGAGGTGGGCAATTTGAAGTGCGTTAACCTGATGCAAACAAACAAACACAATTTTATTTCAAAATAAGTGCTTCTTCAGCACAAAAGTAACAATACGAGGTTTCTGGACCACTCTTTCAACAACCAATGCAGACTTAATAGTTGCTTTTAGTGTCCCTTTAAGTAGAGCTCTAAAAGTGCAACATTTAGCTGTACGGTGTACCCTAGAAAAGGCACAGAAAATAAGACAGGTATCCAAGTCACCATCAATAGCTTCCTATGAAAACTTTCACCATGCATACCTATGCAGGCAGTATGCACCCTCGATACTTTATAGTTCCACAGTGTAGGAAGGTGAGGTGACAGAACGGCTCAGAGGTGCAGTGGAGCAGCCACGCCGAAAAGTTGTTCCCGTTCACAGCCTACCAGACTGCAATAGGCGCATTGGGGCCTGTAGAACATGTGTAAAATTGCTGGGCATCACTTACTTCCCCCTGCCTGTGATGACAAGTTACACGTTGAACTGTTTTAATTCCTGTTTTGTGAAACTATTCATACTCGTGACAGTTTCATCTTCTGAACTTATGTGAGGTGCGTGGCACCATGGATCAACGGGCAAGAAGTGCTTCACACTATGTTGCATGTCATGATACAATTTCAGTATGGGAAATTATCACTGGTTTTCGCGCCGAAAGAAGGAATGCCATTCCTCACAAGAATAAAACGACCATTCTTGCAAAAGGCACTTCGAGCCACATCTGGTAACCAAAACCTGGGAGGCTCTCTACAGCAGTAATGTCTATATTTGCACTCCCCGGAAAGCATCTTTCTCAAAAGGTGCAGTGCCTACATTTTCAGTATGCCCAAGCTATTTGTCAAAATAGAGAAATAAAATGAAAGAGGCCCACCAAGAGGCAGGGTAGAACCAAGTCATAAAAAAAACGGCAAAAAAAAAGCCCATTGATGCAGTTCTGCAAGTCTGCTTAGCGGTCCGCGGCCTCTGTTCGCGTAGCACCATCTATGAGTGCATACATGAACGGAAACAAAATTTATCCAAGCTTGCTCGTCATACGAGTCGCTTCTTCCTGCACTACGCTTTATACTTTGGAAGTTTATACACACACATCGAGAGAGCTTTATTCCCAACTAGGTGTGCCAAGACTAGACTGCTTATGATTTTTTCTACCAATACTCAGCTCTAAAAAGAATTGATAAATTTGACTGCAAAGTTGCTGTTTTTTAAAGATATTTATTTTTGGAGTAAAGCATCAATTGATGAATGCACAATGAATGAATCTACAGAAAAAAACAAAATTAAGGTAACATGATATTATGATACTAGAAATGCGACATGTTGGAGCCAAGTTCAGTCACACAGTGAAGACCCATAAGAGCGATGCAATCCTTGGCTTCTGCTTTTCTGTCTCTTCATATCAGGCATAATTATCAAGGAATATGTGCAGTTTGGTTTCACTTAAAATGATCTTCAAAGCACTACATCGTGCCATTAAAAAAAAATGCATTCAGGCTAACAATCCC